AGCATCATCACTCGACCTGACCGCTTTCAGCTAAAAACGGATCACAGGAGTGCAGAATGAACTGCCCTCCTGTGATCCACAGGAGAAGTACAGTCAAATGAGTTTTGGCTGTACTCCTCCATTAACTACTTCGCGTCCGGCCCATGTATATAAATGGCCAGACGGGAGCAGTGCAGGAGCAGGTGGCTGTTTATAAACGTCCTCCCCACCCCTTGCTTGTGCGCGCTCCAGACACCGATCATTGTACGGGACCTCTGTGTGAGGTTCCGGTCATGTGATCAATGAAAGGCCAATCAGTGATCACATGAAGAGTGGTAAGCAAGATGTCACTTCCGACATCATTGCTTACTACGTGTGAAATCTGTGAATGATCACAGGTCACATGGTACAGGGCTATTCACAACAGCCGTGTACCATGTGACAAGCTGTGACCAATCACAGCTCACATAGTATTTCTCAATGGCTGCAAGAATGCAGCCAGAGAGAAGGAGAAATTATTGCTTTTACAGCCTTTATGGGTGTAAAAGCAATCAAGTGTAAGAAAAAAAAAAAAAATCTTCATTACCCCCCACTGCTAGGGAGACAGTAGGTAAAAAAAACATAATATAAAAAAAAAATAAAAGTGTAAAAATTTTTTTTAGAAAATTATAAATTTTTGGTTATAAACTAATTTGGGTTATTTTTTTTTTTTACTAAAAAGATAACTGAATACATTTTGGCCAAGATTTATGAATAAAGATTATTTATTTGCAAAATGTTATAAGAAAAAAACCTTTTTTTCAAAATTTTTTGACTTTTTCATTTATATAGCAAAAGAAAACTAAAAATCCCCATGGTGAATAAATACCACCAAAATAAAGTTTTATCGGTCTCAAAAAAATGCTAAAAAATTCATATGGGTACAGTGTTGCATGACCGCGCAATTGTCAAAGTGTGACAGCGCTGAAAGCTGAAAATTGGCCTGGACTGGAAGGGGGGGAAAGTGTCCGGACTGGAAGGGGGGGAAAGTGTCCGGACTGGAAGAGGGGGAGAAAGTGTCCGGACTGGAAGGGGGAGGGAAAGTGTCCGGACTGGAAGGGGGGGGGAAAGTGTCCGGACTGGAAGGGGGGGGGGGGAAAGTGTCCGGACTGGAAGGGGGGGGGGGGGGAAAAAGTGTCCGGACTGGAAGGGGGGGGGGGGAAAGTGTCCGGACTGGAAGGGGGGGGGGGAAGTGTCCGGACTGGAAGGGGGGGAAAGTGTCCGGACTGGAAGGGGGGGAAAGTGTCCGGACTGGGGGGGGAAGTCCGGGGAAGGGGGGTGAAAGTGTCCGGACTGGAAGGGGGGGGGGAAGTGTCCGGACTGGAAGGGGGGGGGGAAGTGTCCGGACTGGAAGGGGGGGGTGGAAGTGTCCGGACTGGAAGGGGGGGGGGGGGGAAAGTGTCCGGACTGGAAGGGGGGGGGACCCCGGGGAAGTGTCCGGACTGGAAGGGGGGGGGAAGTGTCCGGACTGGAAGGGGGGGGGGGCAAGTGTCCGGACTGGAAGGGGGGGGGGAAGTGTCCGGACTGGAAGGGGGGGGGGGAAGTGTCCGGACTGGAAGGGGGGGGGAAGTGTCCGGACTGGAAGGGGGGGGGAAGTGTCCGGACTGGAAGGGGGGGGAAGTGTCCGGACTGGAAGGGGGGGGAAGTGTCCGGACTGGAAGGGGGGGAAAGTGTCCGGACTGGAAGGGGGGGAAAGTGTCCGGACTGGAAGGGGGGGAAAGTGTCCGGACTGGAAGGGGGGGAAAGTGTCCGGACTGGAAGGGGGGGAAAGTGTCCGGACTGGAAGGGGGGGAAAGTGTCCGGACTGGAAGGGGGGGAAAGTGTCCGGAAAGGGGGGGAAAGTGTCCGGACTGGAAGGGGGGGAAAGTGTCCCCGGACTGGAAGGGGGGAAAGTGTCCGGACTGGAAGGGGGGGGAAAGTGTCCGGACTGGAAGGGGGGGAAAGTGTCCGGACTGGAAGGGGGGGAAAGTGTCCGGACTGGAAGGGGGGGAAAGTGTCCGGAACTGGAAGGGGGGGAAAGTGTCACCGGACTGGAAGGGGGGGGGAAAGTGTCCGGACTGGAAGGGGGGGAAAGTGTCCGGACTGGAAGGGGGGGAAGTGTCCGGACTGGAAGGGGGGGGAAGTGTCCGGACTGGAAGGGGGGGAAGTGTCCGGACTGGAACCGGGGGGAAAGTGTCCCGACTGGAAGGGGGGGAAAGTGTCCGGACTGGAAGGGGGTGGAAAGTGTCCGGACTGGAAGGGGGGGGAAAGTGTCCGGACTGGAAGGGGGGGGAAAGTGTCCGGACTGGAAAATGCCGAGTGTTTAGTCTGCTTTTACGGCAGAGAGCGCAGATTTCACTGCAAAACATCCAACTTCATTTCTATCCATTAATTATCAGGAGCCACAACTGGATGGGAAGTTAAACTTTACCGCATTTCTAAACACAATTTTTTTTTTTTTATGCACATCTGCAAAAACACAAGCCGGCTCATTAGAGCTGGGGATGCGAAGCCCGGGGGCCCCGTGATGAGACCCCTCTGAACCTCAGTCATTTGTGCCCATTTTAGCCACGCGGTGACGTCCTATCACAACAGCGATTCCGGCAAAGACCTGAGAGGGATGTTAAAACCTCAATAGACGACTGTCAGGCGCTGCTGCCGCTCAGCATGGATAATTAGAAAGCTCGCTTGAGGTTATGAACGTCTGGCACTATGCGAGGGATGGCAGGAGGAGAGCAGAGGGGGCGACAAGCGCTCAGCAGCCAAAAGTCAAAGACACCTGGAAACAGCGGCGGGGAAATCGGTCCGCAGGTGCTTAGAACAGGCAAAACGATACGTACAAAATTTTAAATGACTTTCACTTTCCCCCCGGGGAGCAGCAGCTGAGCAACTTTCCATCATCACGTCTTAAATAATATTCAAGTCCGCGGTCTAGTTTTCATGGCAGACTGAACAAGCCGACCGTTCGATAAAAACAGACGCGCTCCTCTGAGTCCGCCCCGTGCCTCCTGGGAATAGATTGTGACTCAGATCTATTTTCAATTTTCCAAAAAATTACCGGTGGTGCAAGTTATGGAAACAAAGCTTCTTCCAAGTGACCCTGCTGTGGACCATTCCAACCAATCACGTGGGGATACGGCTCCTAAAAATAATACCAATGAAATGAATTCATCCTTAGAGGTCAACTCTACCCAAACTGGGGATAGGAATGCAGCCAATGAAGTCTAAGGGCTGAAACACGCCTTGTTGCTGCGGTGCAAGTGAATGCATGTTACGTGTGTTAGCGCACTGCGGTGACATTCATTCTCAATGGCTCCCCAATGCACTAAAAGGCAATACAGCTTCAATGCACATCACAACACATGGCTATGGCTGTGTTGCCAAAAAAAAGGTTTTTTTTTTGGACCTTTGGTGCATTGCCAGCCCATTCATTTGAAAAGGGCTGCTTTATTACAAGGCACAAAAATCACCTGCGTTAATGTAATCCGCCAGGGCCCCATGGTCCGAATGGGCCCCCTTTGTCTTTAGCAAAACTACAACGGTTATTCTTTTTATTACCCTAGGACCAAATCTTCTGGATCCGCTCTCCCCGGACCCCGCACTCACTATATCCGCTCTCCCCGGACCCCGCATTCACTATATCCGCTCTCCCGGACCCCGCATTCACTATATCCGCTCTCCCCGGACCCCGCATTCACTATATCCGCTCTCCCCGGACCCCGCATTCACTATATCCGCTCTCCCCGGATCCCGCATTCACTATATCCGCTCTCCCCCGGACCCCGCATTCACTATATCCGCTCTCCCCCGGACCCCGCATTCACTATATCCGCTCTCCCCGGACCCCGCATTCACTATATCCGCTCTCCCCGGACCCCGCATTCACTAAATCCGCTCTCCCCGGACCCCGCATTTCACTATATCCGCTCTCCCCGGACCCCGCATTCACTATATCCGCTCTCCCCAGGACCCCGCATTCACTAGATCCGCTCTCCCCGGACCCCGCATTCCCTATATCCGCTCTCCCCCGGACCCCGCATTCACTATATCCGCTCTCCCCGGACCCCGCATTCACTATATCCGCTCTCCCCGGACCCCGCATTCACTATCTCCCAGACCCCGCATTCACGTCTCCCCCCGGACCCCGCATTCACTATATCCGCTCTCCCCGGACCCCGCATTCACTATATCCGAACTCTCTCCCCGGACCCCGCATTCACTATATCCGGCCTCCCCGGACCCCGCATTCACTATATCCTCTCCCCGGCCCCACATCCCTGGACCCCGCATTCACTATATCCGCTTTCCCCCGGACCCCGCTTTCACTATATCCGGTCTCCCCCCCACGGACTCTCCCCTCCGGACCCCGCATTCACTATATCCACTCCGGTCCCCGGACCCCGCATTCACTATACCATGTCTCCCCGGACCCCGCATTCACTATATCTTGTCTCCCACAGTACACACAACATGGAAATGCAATTATTTTAGTAAATATATAAATCCCTTTTCTCATCAGCAGTATAGAGCAGTCTTGTGACTTCTATCAGTGTCCAGCAGAGTACTGGTTAAAGCTTGTAAGAGGAGTTTTCTTTCTGCTCTAGGAGAATGCAGAACCCCTGCCTTTTGTCTGGACAGTGTTGATTGGCCCTGTGCTGATCGCATGCACTCTCCCAAGTAAAAAAAAAAAAAACAATCCTAGCAATACACACCAAACTGAGCATGTGCAGAGTGTCTCCACACAATTTGTCTTATCAGGAGATAAGAGGGATGCACTGGAAGAAGGGGAGGATCAGAGAAATCAGGATCAAACAGCATTTTTACACATTGCAGAGGATTAACCCCTTAGGTTACACAGTGAGTATACAGACTGATTTTACTGTTGTGGGTTTAGTAACACTTTAAATGCTCTCTTTCTGTAGCCCTTTGGGGTGATTTTTTTTTTTCACTTCCTTTATGGTCACCAAGAAGTTTGGGGTCTGATTTACTTGGCGTTGGTATACTTAGTGACAACCTTGGTGCTTGGCTAAGTCTCTGGGAAGGAGGAGGCGGATAGTAGTCTGGGTTTCCTTGGAGGTGATGGTAGAGCACGTGGTGTAATGAGCCAGACTGGAAGCTTTGCAGCAATGCAATCGAAGAGGTATTGGACAAAAGAGTTGATGGCGCATGCGGCCTTGGATGAGATATTGGTGTTGGGGTGGACCCGCCTGAGCTTGATCCTTCTGGCTCTTAATCACGGCTTTCTTGAAGCCCTTCCTGGGCGCTGACTTGGACTTGATTGGCTCAGGCACGAAAGTGGTTAACTATCTCTGCTGTGTCCAGGAAATATGTGCTATGTGCCTATATGGTCACCAAGAAAGGAAAAGTGCTAAATATTTCCAAACGGTGGCAAAGACAACAATACAAGTGGTCTTTATTGCCATAGGTCTGCCTCTTTGGGAGATCTCTTTCCATGTGGTTGCCAGGACAGGAAGGTAAAATCTCCCCAGTGACATATAGGGGATGGACAAAAATTGGAAATACTACATGATTTGCAGGTGTGAAAGTGATATGCTTCATGTTGAAAGTGGATGTGATTTAACATTCTTTTGTTTCCGCTGTGTGATGAGACACCTAGCTAACAGGTGGGAAGCCTCAGTTTCCTCATTTACTATGTGCACTACTAGTAATATGGAGTCATGTCAGAGATTACAAAGCTTCAAAGGTGGGGAGGGAACTCCTTAAGCAAACCATTTAAGGGGCGAAAGGATAGTTCAGAGTCCAGGGTTACCCCTCACACCCCGGCATGCAGGGGATGGGTTAATAGTGGTGCAATTGACCCTGACTGAGAAATCAGGGGAAGAGGCATGTGGGGGGAGGTAATATTCTGAGCTCAGTTTTGGATAGACTGAGTTTTAGGAAGTGGAGTGACATCCAGTCTGATATGTCTGTTAGTAAATCAGTGATAGGTGAGGAAACTGATGGGGTGAGCTGAGGAGCAGAGAGATAGATTTGTGTGTCATCAGCATAAAACGGTATTGGAAACCATGGGAAGCTATCAGCTGACCCAAGGAAGAAGTGTAGATCGAGAATAAGAGGTCCAAGGACAGAACCTTGGGAGACCCAGACAGTAAGAGGAGTAGGAGAGGTCCAGGACAGAACCTTGGGGGACCCCGACAGTAAGAGGAGTAGGAGAGGTCCAAAGGACAGAACCTTGGGAGACCCAGACAGTAAGAGGAGTAGGAGAGGTCCAGAGGACAGAACCTTGGGGGACCCCGACAGTAAGAGGAGTAGGAGAGGTCCAAAGGGACAGAACCTTGGGGACCCAGACAGTAAGAGGAGTAGGAGAGGTCCAAAGGACAGAACCTTGGGAGACCCAGACAGTAAGAGGAGTAGGAGAGGTCCAAGGACAGAACCTTGGGGGACCCCAACAGTAAGAGGAGTAGGAGAGGTCCAAAGGACAGAACCTTGGGGACCCAGACAGTAAGAGGAGTAGGAGAGGTCCAAGGACAGAACCTTGGGGGACCCCGACAGAAGAGGAGTAGGAGAGGTCCAAGGACAGAACCTTGGGAGACCCAGACAGTAAGAGTAGGAGAGGAGGAAGTAGAGAGATAAGTGACACTGAAGGTACGGTGAGATAGGTGAGATTCGAACCAATGGAGAATACAGTCACGGAGACCAAGTAAATAGAGTTTTTTGAGAAGGAGGGGGTGATCAACTGTGTCAAAAGCAGAGAGAGGTCCAAGAGCAAGAGCACAGAACAGTGACCGTTGGTTTTAGCGGTTAGTAAGTCGTTTGTGAAAAAAATCTGCTGGAAGAATGTTTACCTGTTCAGCAAAAAGCATTTGTGAGGTCTAGGTACTGATGTTGGATGAGAAGACCTGGCTTACCATCGCTGTTCCAATTCATCCCAAAGGTGTTCAGTAGGGTTGAGGTCTGGGCTCTGTGCAGGACACTCCGAGTTCCTTCACACCAAACTAATCCAACCATGTCTTTATGGAGCTGACTTTGTACAAAGGGCACAGTGATGTTGGAAAAGAAAAGGGTCTTCACCAAACTTATCACAAGGTTGGAAGAGAACAATTGTCTAAAAGGACTTTGTAGGATGTAGAAATAACTGTACACATCACTGGAACCACCTGAACTCAGTCATTTGGAGGAGAGTCATATAGTATACATTAGGACGACAGATATTTGGTCCTCAAATTGGTATCCATACTAAATGAAACCCGTCAGATTCGCTGTTCAGGAAGAGAAGAGTTAATGCCTCTGTTGTCTTGTTTGGCAGAATGCAAACTGAGATCAAAGCTGTAAAGGTCTCAGGGAAACACAATTTACTGTGCCATTTTCATTATGGAAATGCGACTCCATCACCAGCCTTGGTGGAAGGTTTGTTTGTTTGTTCGTGAGGTGCGAAAAGACATTAAAAATGAATAAGAGTCGTTCTTGAGACGTCTATGGAGAGCGGTTGGTGGGGGGATTCAGTGCTACAACTTCAAAATGTCACCTAACACAAGACCACATGAGGATCATCCAACAAGACGGTAATCCTATATATAGATTAATTGTGGAAAAACACGTCCAGACCCTTCTGTTCTATCAAACATAAGGTGTAAACTCAAAAATGGAAGCGACTTTGTCTTGTGCAGCAAACACACCGTATTGTATGCTAGACTGACACAATACATGAATACGTTTTAATGTGAACATGAATTCTGTCATTGGCTAACAATCAGCTATAAGGAAATATGCAGTTTTGGAGCTCCCTCTTGAATGGTCCAACTGTAAAGCAGAAGCTACAAGTCAGCATCTCTCGCCACTAAAAAGGACTTCACAATGTTCACAGTGCATTTAGTATTAGCTCCTCCCCCTGCCCTGTAGATCATTTCCTGCCTTTAATATATATATATATATATATATATATATATATATATATATAATATCTTATAATATATACACTATATATAATATTAAAAATCTTGTAATGATACACTTGTAACACCCTCCTAGTAAACTGGCTAATAGGAATTAGGTAAATTTTGTTTTTTTGGCTCCTTTGTAGCCAGTAGAGATCAGATGATTGCTTTTGGCTATTCTGGGTTCTGATGGTCAGAGGCTCAACTGCTTCCCACTGCTTTCTAGTGAGTTCTGAGGTGTGTAAAAATAGCATGGGGCCTGGAATAGCAGGGTATACCCAGGAGGAAAAGAGAGAGAGGGGGAGGGGGAGAGAGGGTGGAGGGGGAGAGAGAGGGGGAGGAGGGGGAGAGAGAGGGGGAGGGGGAGAGAGGGGGGAGGGGGAGAGAGAGGGGGGAGGGGGAGAGAGAGGAAGTGAGGGAGAGGTAGGGGGGGGGAGAGAGGGGGAGGGGGAGGGAGGGAGAGAGGGGGAGGAGGAGAGAGAGGTGGGGGGGAAGGGGAGAGAGAGGGGGGACAAGGAGAGAGAGGTGGGGGGAGGGGTAGAGAGAGGGGGAGAGAAGGAGAGAGAGGTGGGGGGGGAGGGGTAGAGAGAAGGGGAGGGGTAGAGAGAGGGGGGGAGAGAGAGGGAGGGAGGGAGAGGTGGGGGGGGAGAGGGGGGGGGGGAGAAGGGGGGAGAGAGGGGGGAGAAAGGGAAGGAGGAGGGGGGAGAGAGAGAGAGAGGGAGAGAGGGGGGAAAGGGGGGGAAGGGGAGAGAAGGGGGAGAAAAAGGGAGAGGGGGGGCGAGAGGGGGGGGGCGAGAGGGAGAGAGGGGGGGGCGAGAGGGAGAGAGGGGGGCAAGGGGGGGGGCGAGAGAGGGGAGAGAGGGGGGAAGGGGGGGGCGAGAGGGAGAGGGGGGAGAGAGGGGGAGGGGGGGCGAGAGAGGGGGAGAGGGAGAGGGGGGCGAGAGAGGGGGAGAGGGGGGCGAGAGAGAGGGGGAGAGGGAGAGAGGGGGGCAGGGGAGAGGGGGGAGAGAGGGAGAGAGGGAGGGAGGGAGAGAAGGAGAGAGAGAGGGGGGGGAGAGGGAGAGAAGGAGGGGAGGGGAGGAGAGGGGGGAGGGAGAGAGAGAGAGAGGGGGGGAGAGAGAGAGAGAGAGGGGGGGGAGAGGAGAGAGAGAGAGAGGGGGGGGAGAGAGAGAGGGGGGGGAGAGAGAGAGGGGGGGAGGGGAGAGAGAGGGGGGGGAAGAGAGAGAGAAAGAGGAAGAGAGAGAGGGAGAAGGAGGGAGAGGGACATTTGTTTAACCCTTAAAGACTGTACAAGAGTTGCTGGCTCAGGACTGCTCTATAATAGGGGGGGCCCACTCTGAAGTGTCTAGTTGTTACCAATGAGACATATATCAACAAGTTCCATTCAGTACTAAATACAGTTAGGCCCATAGATATATTTGGACATAGGCACACTTAGTTTTTTTCAGGTATTTACCAAAACATATTCAAGTTACAGTTATATAATGGACATGGGATGAAAGTGCACACTCAGGTTTAATTTGATGGTATGCTTCACAGAGTCACATGACTTCCTCATGGAATTTATTGCGTTATAGTTACCAGTAGAAGTCCTTGGTTGCCCTTTGCACTATAGTTGGAGTATCCCAAGGCTCACCCTACACCATGTCCAAGTTGAACTAGCATTAAAACTTCAAAAAGACATTTGCTGCTTGATTGAGTTGTGAGACTTTGGAGCAGTTGTGTGCTTGGCTGCAGTGCATGCAGTAGGGAATAGAACCGAGGACAAAACTGCAAGGCCAGTCTGGGGTCCACACTGCACACTGCATAAATAAAACCAAGTGGACTTGACATGGGGAGAGACATCATCGGACGCCTTCAGCTGCCATTGGGCTCTTGCTGGGTTTCGACCGTGCCCCTGCACCTTAAAAAGCATGAATGGTCTCCCTCCAAGCATACTACCCCTTCATTTATCCACTGCTTTATTCTCTAACTTGGAGACTCTGAAATTTAGGACCACATTTTACAGAGGAGCCTTGGCTGGGCAGTGTGGCTTTCACATACTCAGTATTTGCAAAGGTGTGCAACTGAAACCTTTGTTTTTAATGTAAATTGTTAGGGTCAGTTTGGGTTTGTTTTTTTTTTTGCAGGCTATTTGGTAAGAGTGCTGGGAAATCTTCTGGTTATTGAAACTGTGTGGGACCCTGACCATCACCCCTAATATGAGCTTTGTTGAACACCCCCCCATTCCAAAACCATGGCCATTTAATATAGCAATGCCCCAAACAGTCTCC